CCTTCAGCACAGATATAGGTTTGTAGAGAATTTAAAGCTCTATCTTCCCGGCCGAAAAAATCGCTTATATAGGTAGCAAAGAAAATGATTCATTCAATAAAGCAAATCAACATGTAAATTTTGAGCAGTTTTTATTTTTTATTTTTTAAAATTATTTTTAGTGTTTTTTTTTCTTTTTGAATTTTTCAAAGAGATATGAAAAGTCTGTACAAGTATCCTCAACAAGCGTTTCCTTACGAACAATTGATTGAAGAAAATCAACGACGATCACGCGAGGATCGAGAATTTGAATTGATCGATACAAAGATCTTTGATAACAATGAATACTTCGATGTGTTTGTCGAATATGCTAAACAAGATATTGATGACATTCTCATTTGAATTACTGTCGAAAATCGTCGAACCAGTCAGGAAACTAAATTACATCTATTGGCTACGCTCTTTTTTCGAAATACCTGGATTTGGAATACGAAAAAGGGCGAAGAGTGAGTTACCCTTTTTACGTTGAATAGAGCCGAGTTTTTGTATTATGAACGTTCTAAAGGAATTTTGACTTTCCAGTTTCGTTCAGTGTAGTCAATCGATCTGTGTGAGACTTGGAATCAGTCGATTATTCTTTTATCGAAATGAAGTGACCGGTCAAAATTCTTAGCTCAAACGGAGAAAAATCAATATGTTTAAATGGACATACCATCGATTCTATGGTGATTCATGGAAAATCGAATGTTCAACTCGAAATGGTCAGATGATGACATTGATTGAAGTTTCTCGTGAAATAAATCAACGACTTACGAAGATTTTTCTACATGATGAACAAGGACGACGAGTATGTCATGGCGACGATATTCGTTTTCAAAAAGATCCACATTGGTGTGATCTTCTTCTCTTTGATGAATACTTTCATGGAGACAATGGTCAAGAGTTAGGTGCAAGCCATCAAACTGGTTGGACAACTCTCATCATTCGTAACATTTCGGATATAGCTATGATGAGAGTAAAGAATAATACTAATGAAAAATGACTCAATATACATACCAATGAAACCTACTCAACTGTATATTAATATAAATTTCTTTTTCTTTTTGTGAAACCCTCTCAAACATATCCTTAAATTCAGCTGAATGACTCAATAAACAGATAAAAATTTTTATTCAGTTTATAATTCAAAGTATCAGATTCACCAAATTTTTCAGAATGCCACAAATATGTTGAAAACTAATGAATACCAGTCTTGTTGAAGTTTGAAACACAACGTACTTTCTATTATTATTGTATTAAAATGAAATCATGAATACAATTCATTGACGAGAAAATTTTTTCTGATATCTATTTGATTGAAAACAATAATGAGACGACCTTCAAAGGTAATAGAATGGTTGATCAGATCATTATTATAGTTGTTCATGGAGTTGAGTTCCTACCAAATTGTCACGAATGAACATTGTGAGAATTATTAAAAAGTATCAGAAATTTTATTGCAATATCAAACGTAACGTCAACATATTTTCATCTGATCTCGCTTGATTCGCTCAATGAATAGTTTTGATATTGCTAAGAAGTTTTGTCTTGTAAAAAGAAATGTCTTTGTAATAGAGTGAGACTTTTTGTTAAGTCAGTGTGAACCGAACACTAGAGACCATTTGAATGACATATAGCTATTGTTTATTAGAAAAATTTGTTATAGATTTCATATAAAATAAACTAAAGCAAAAAGGAACAATGTAGAACTTTTACTAAACGAGAGGAAAATAATTTTTTTTTTGATGAAATATTATTAGAAAAGAGCAAGAAGAATTACGTTCTAACACAACTAACACTATTATATGTGATAGTAAATAATATAGATCTAATACAAAGAACATAATAACTCGTTTCCGATTGTATTATCAAGTGTACACACTTTCTTATTCATTCATGTCCGATTTTTAATAAAAAAAAATATTGATAGAAATATAAAAAAATAATCACAAACAATCATGTACCATCACTAGACAGCCTTCTTATGTTTCATTTTTCTTTATTTAATGTAATAAAGAAATAAATGATAAAATATTATGACTTTAAATATTACTTTTTATTATTCTTTTTTGAATTGTTTTATGAATGAGAAAACTTATTTTGATGTTATATTGAACTTATTCTTTGGAAATATCCGAATCATTTCTTAACATTTCATGAGACATTCAGATTTATTGAACGAATCAGTACTTTAGAAAGTACTAATTCTTTCTTTTTTTATTAACTTATTATTATCATATAACATCAATCGATGAAATGAGTACAATGAAAAAAATTCGTTTTAAAAATTCTATAAAGAACATTTCGATCTACTTCGAATACAAAAAGCAACAGCAAAAAGAAAAAGTTTCACTGACAATAACAAAACGAACCTAGTCACCTAGATTACACATCAACAAAAAAAAAAAAAACTAATAGTCAACCAAACAAACATTGAAGTGTAGATACATAGTAAAGAAAGAACAGAAAATATAAGAATGCAGATGAAAACGATGAAATGAAACAAATAATAGAAAATCATTTTTTTTGCACATTTCAATCTATAAATAAAAAAAATTGCATACAATTATTCTGAAAATAATTATTTAATAATCTTTATTTTCCTACGATAAAATTCAATACTCATTATTTATATATAAATAAATAAACTTTTAGTCTTAATATAAAATATTTGTACTTATTACAAATATATAGACAATTATTTGAATTCAATTATATATTCTAATAGCTAACAAATGGTTTTTCTTTTTTTTCATACATTGAACTATATTTGTTTCTCATTTTATGTAAACATCAAGAATTAAAAATTCATGACGTTCATATCTCGTTAAATTTAAAAAAAAGAGAAAAAAAAGAATATCTTTTTCAATATAATAATTCCTGAGAAAATAAATTAATAGTTTTACGAAAATGAAGTACATGTTTTATACTTCAATATTTATTTTATTAATGCGTCCAAATACAACACAAAAAAAAAGTGCAAAGACAAGATTATTTACCTTTTATTTTATTTTCTATATATTTGAAAAGCAGCAAAATTTCATACAAGTTCAAATCGTTCTTTATTCAATTTTTGATGTATTGTCTACATTTTAAGACAAAAACGAAAATGGTCTTAATGGAGAATACACGTGTAAAATTGAAGTGTATGACAACAAACACAATGACAATACACTGTACGTTCCAATGATTTACAGCCAATTTTTTACCTTGAATGACTACACATACTATTAACAACCAACGTCTTTTGCTTTCACAAGCTTCTAAAACACCTATTACTACTTTTCGTCCACCAAAAAATTCGAAGACTAATATTCTACCAACAGCTGGACCATCATCACGATTACCACCCCCACCATCATCATCATCATCATCACGACGACCACCACCAACGTCGTCGTCATCAGCAGCAGCAGCACGAGTTTCAAGAAATCCATGGACAAATAATATCATAGCAAGTACAGAAATAACACCAAAGTCACGTATTCTTGTAGTTCGTTCAGCAAGTCGTGGAGCAGATGATTCAATAGAACCAAATGAGGTAAAAGAAGCAGAGAAAACGAATCCAGTTCAACTTCCAGCAGTACTAACTAATGGAGTAAGTATTTTAATCAAAAATTCATGTTTCTTATCTTTAACAAAAATAAATATATATATATATTCTAGCGTACATCGGTTTATCTTATTCGACGACCTATTCCATCAGTTGAACCAACATCCATACAAACAAAATTATATCAAGAACAAAATGAGGAACCACCAACAACACCAACTACTACTAATGATGTACAAGATGTAGATACTCTTAGTCCTACAGAAGACACTGTAACTTCACCTACTCAAGTCGAATCATCTTTAATACGTCCAAAAACTTCTAAACATCGTACACCTTTTACACGTTCTGAAAGTCCTGAAGAAAATTCACCTGTGAATATACATAATGAGAGTTCTACAATTCATTCTCCTGATAGTTCAAAACATCTTATAACTTCACCAACACAATCTGGAAACTCTGAACAAATTAAACCTCGATCAAGATCAAAATCTGTAAGACGAATATTAGTTCATTCACGTTCTCGAAGTCGATCAGCACGAAGACAACGTCGTAGATCTCCAACAGAACGTTCACCATCTCCATCACCTCCTATACAACAAGAATCTAAACGTAATTAATCATAGATTTCTATTATAATCATAAATATATCTCTTTTTTTTGTTTTGTTAATCTTTTATAGAGACTGATAAAAGACGAAATTTTTTTTCATTTTCACGAACAAAAAGTACAGCTGTACAAGCTGATTTACCTTCTTCTGAAACAATTGAAAAAGAACAACGAATTATTCGAAATATTCGTCCAACAGTTACAAGAAATTCTCAACGAATTAAATCTTCGAAATCAATTGTACTTGTCAATCCAGATGATCAAACTATTGCTGTTGTAGAAAATCCATATGTTAAAGGAGATTCAATTACACCAATTTTAAAACGTCCAGTATCTGTAAAGAATGCTCGATTTCTCAACGTAAATATATGTAGAATATAAATTTAAAAAAAATCAAACATATTTTGATTTTTCATTATTACAGGATGGACAATCAATAGGAGAATCAAATAAAAGATCTCGATTGAATTCATGTCTTAATTGTCTATCACGACGTAAATGTTTAATTATTATTATTTGTATTATTCTTGCTATAATTGGTTTAGTTGGTGTTGGTGTTAGTGCTTATTTTCTAGCTACTGGTAAATCTATTTACTATTTATCAGAATTATAAAAATAAAATCAATATGTTTCTTTTTCTTAATTTGAAGATTCTAAAACAAATCTTATACCAAAAATTGTTGGTATAGCTGTCGGTGGTTTAATAGCTATAATTGCTTTAACTTTCTTATATTGTATATTGGCATGTATTGATTCTCGTGATGATTATTTTTCATATGATGATGATGTTCCATATACTGGTAGTAAAGTTTTTACAGTAATACCATCTTCACATCCAAATACTCATCTGTATGTTCCTCATGATTATATGAAAATATATAAGACTAATCATATATCTATTTTTAGTAGATCAAATATTCAACAATCAACAATCAATCGACAAAAACCAATAACAACTGATATAAATAGTACAAATAATGGAAAAAATCTTATAATTCAAATGCCTGAACGTCTTCTAACAGCAAGAAAATTATCACCAAAATCACAAGAACGTAAAATAAATAATGTAGTTAATAATATAGGACGTATTGTTCAAGATGCTAAAAAACGATATAATGGTGATGTACCAAATAAAGTTATTGTCAAAGTCGATGAAAATGTTAAACCATCTACTTAAAATATCTTTTAGTTTTCTTCTTTTTTTTTTTTTATCTTCTTGTTTTAAAGAAACAGGATTTTTATTTTAAAAAGATTATAAAAGCAAAAAAAAAACTATCAATTATTCAATGAATATTTGATTGTTACCTTTTATTTTTTGTTCAAGGTTTATTTTAATAGTATGAAGAAAAATTATAGAACGAATGATCAAAAAAAATAAAACCAATATCTGTTCGATAAAAATTGATTTATAATCAGCAATGAAATTATTTAAAATATAAAGAGAAATTTTTCTAAGTTTTTACTTTTGATTAAAACGAATTCAATAAGAAAAGTCATATTGTATAATCATTGAATATCTTATTATTCACTTTCTGATCATTTGATATTTTATAAAATTAAAAGTTTTTACTTAATTGAATTCGAACCTACAACTTTCTCTTAATGATTAATACTTATCGATTCTAATTGTTTATTTAATGAGAATAAAGTCATAATGTTTTGTTTTTTTTTTCTTTTCTTTTTATTTTATAATAAATTACCTTGATAAAATAATGATAGAATAATAAATTTATTGATTGTTTATATATTGTAAATTTAATGATCAGTTATGCTTTATTTATGTTTCGTTTATTTGAATTAGAGGGTAAGTCTATTTAGATCATTTTTTAGTTTTAGTTTTTAAAATTGAATGTTAATCATTTATTCATTTGTATTCTTAATTCGTTTCGGTAAATGACACATATATGGATTTATCATAAATAGAAGAGAATGAAAAAAAATATGGATGATAGACAAGTATTCAAGTGAGCGTAATCGAGCGGCAGATTCGTTTGTTGATCTTTAGGGGTGTATGTGTGTCCGTTAGCCAGAGGGCTCACTGACAACATGGCCAAGTGTGTCACAGCAGTCTCTAATTGAATTCGATTTGTCTTATTCTATCAAACTTATGTACAACTATTTCTTTTTTATAGCTTTTTTTTTGTCACTCATTTACATACACATACTTTTACTTTTATTCACAAATGAGACCAATTAGAGCAAAAGAAAAGGTTCATTGTATTTATATGTTAAAAGACACGCTCGATGAGCACAACCGCTATTATTTGTCTATCTCTATTTAAATTCTATATATAACATATATATATATATTGTATTATGATGAGAGCTAGACATAGTAGGAAATTTTCTTTTAATGTACGGGAGTGTGTTTGTCTACTATTTTTTTTTTTTTTATATGTAAAAAAAATGAAAAGAAGATGTTTCTAATCACATGCTGTCACAGCATTCCGGATTCCGCTTGCTTGATTATAATAGGTGTTCAAATGAATAAATGATGGCTATATGCGTCTGTTCTCTTTCTATTAAAAGCCAACGTAATATTGTCATTGCTCAGAAGTATTTAAAAAAAACACACACACACACAACTTCTCATCTACCTTCTTCTTCGATTAATATCTTGCCGATAGGGTACATGTCGGCATGTACATTAAACGTTTCTATCTCAATTTGTTTTTTTTAATCTTTAACTAGACAATCATTTATGAGCACAATCTGTTTTGATTCCGATCGGAAATGATATAGATATCGAATTTATTCTTCTTCTCTTACTATTTAACAAAAGCAAAAAGTCTAGTGTATAAAATCATCGTTTCTAATCTGTCACAATCATCAAACTATTGACACACATCATGTGTCTAAATTGTGCTGAGAAACAAGTCATCTGGACTAGAAGAATACAAAAAAAATAAAAAGAAGAAGAATAAAAAGAAACAAAAAAGAAAAAGAAAGGGAAATGAACTTTGTGCGACTTTGTGTCTCCAATTAAATACAGACAAAATGACGAGTATGTTAAAATTACCAACATCTCACTCTCCTGCTGTGTCGGAAAATGATCAACTGTTATTATACTGATGTAATAACTAATACAGCTGCTCAAAAGTTTATTTTATTCTTTAAGACGATAGACGGCAAAAGATAAAAGTATCTCACTTGAAAAAACCACAGGACTACTAGTTTCTTTGTCTTCTTCTTTTTTTTTCCCCGTTTTCTTCATTCTTTTCTAGCTTTGCCTAGCAGCCAAATGCTGATTGATGTTGCGCCCTGTTGAACGTGAAATGAAGCGAGACAGTTGGAGTTTGTTTCTTTTCTTTGTTGCAATGACAAAACACAACGAAGAGAGAAGAAAAAAAAAAGAAAAAGAAAAAAGAAAAAGAAGTGATCGATTTGTCTGCATCGATAACGCTTCAATGTGCATACACAATATTTCTGATCAGGTTTCTTCGTTTCGAAATTCGAGTAGTTAAGTTGTTCTTAGATTTGTATAAACAAATGAGAAGAGAAAGAGAAATATATGTATAGTGTGTGTATATATATATATATATTCACCAATCCCGACAACTTTCTTTATATTTGTTTTAGCCAAAAAAAAAGAGAAAGAAGATAAAGATGAAGAAGAAAAAGAAGATACATTTATTGTTTAAAGTTCAAAAAAAAAAAACAAAATTATTGTATTTTACCAGGTAAAATAGCTTGTGGTCGATGAATTTTTTCTGTTTGCATACCAAAATGATAAGGATTTGCTGAATTATTTGATGATGCTGATGATGATGATGGTGATGATACACTCGGTGGTGATGATGATGATGTTGCTGCAGCAGCTGCAGCTAAACTAGCTGATAACATACTACTATAAGGATAATGTGTTGAAAAAGCTGCAGCATATGCAAGTGGATTATAAGCAAGTGCTGCTGTTGAAAATTCACTTAATTTTCCAGTTGAATATGGATAAAGAGATGTTGGTGGTGGTGGTGGTGGTAATAATGAACGACATTTTTCAAGATTCAATGCGAATGAGTCATTAATTTGTTGTTGTATAGATATTGTATCAGTTGTTGAATGTGTTGATAAATCCATTGAATCTTTCGTCGTTAGAGAATGGTGATGATGATGATGATGATGAGATTGAGGATGAGGAAATGTCGGAAATGGAAATGGAAAACGATCTTTTTTTATTAAAGATTTCGGTTTACGACGAGGACGATATTTATAATCTGGATGTTCTTTCATATGTAATGCACGTAAACGTTTAGCTTCGTCAATAAATGGTCGTTTTTGTTCATCGTTTAATAATTTCCAATCAATACCTAAACGACGACTTATTTCACTATTATGCATTTTAGGATTTTCTTGAGCCATTTTACGACGTTGTCCACGAGACCATACCATAAAAGCATTCATTGGACGTTTTATATGTTCTGACATAGGAGTATTAGAATTTGATGATGATGATGATGATTTATTAACCAGATGAGGATGTTGAACATTAAATAGATGGGCTTTAAATAATAATAGAAATAAAGAATAAGAAACAATATTAGTTTTCTTTTTTCTTTTTTTTTCTTTTTTTAATTTTCTATTAATTTATATGAATACTTACACATCATGCTTGAATAATAATGATGATGATGATGATGATAATAATAATAATAAATGAGTCAATCGGAGTTTTTCTTTTTCTTTTTTTTTTCTTTTTAGAAATAAAAATAAAAGCAAAGTAAAAGAAACATACAAGATTCTTTTTTTCTTGTCATATACAATAAAAGGAACAGGTTCTCTTTTTCTCTATTCGATGAAAGCCTATTATATTATTCGACGAGCGAGAAAAAAGAGCAATGAAAATAGTTTTTCTCTCTCTCTCTCTTCCTCTCTTGCTCTCCCTCTCTCTCTTATACAAAGCGAAACATAATGACTTGAACTATGTGCACAGCACATTAATAAAAGAAGGAAAAGGAGAAGAAGAGGAGGAGGCCTTTTCTTGTCGTTCTCGTCGCCGCTCAAAAAGTGTTATTCAAATAGAGACAGCCAAGTGGAAGAGCGAACGAGCGAGTAATAATAATAATAATAATAACGACAACAACAACAACAGCTACCATCTATTTTATTCCTCCAATGGAAATTAAAGAATACAAAACGCGAACAAGAGAGAAAGCGCAAGAAAATTAAAAATCGTCATTGGCCATTCATTGCGCTTCTTTTCGCTTTTTTTTCTTTTCTTTTCTTTTATATTCTATTTTATTCTGTTGCTTGCTCGGAAGCGAGAAAGAGTGGCGGCGCCCAACAACAAAGCGATTACAATATGTGTCTATTGGTCTTTGAATAAAAAGAAAAAAAAAAGAAAAGAAAGAAAAGAGGGAAAGAACAATTCAAGCTGTATGTAATAATGAAGGCTTGCATCAACTGTGCTCTCTCAAATGGTACATAAGAAAAAGAAAAATAAAGGCGAGAGTAAAGAGAAATATTGTTAATCGAATGCATATATATATATACATATACATACACTGATCATTAGCTTGTTTCGATTACCTGAATAAAATGTGTAAAATAGGACAATAAAAAAGGAGTAAAGAAACGACAAAAACGAATCCAAATGAATTAAATTCTCAATTTATTCATCTCATCAAGAGCGGCTTCTTTCCAATCAATGCATTTTTTTGCTACATATACATATATATATAAGAATTTAAAGTCTATGAATAGTTCTCATCCTATTAATCCTCTCTCATCCATCAATTACAATTGCGGTTTTTTTTGCTTCGTTTGATGAATATTGTAAACGTTGTTGTTGTTCTTATTATTCTGATTACTCTTGTTTAGCTTGTTAACATTTTATGAATATCCTTTTAAAATTATCTTTGCTTTTTTTATTTTATTCAAACGTTTATTTAGCTTGCGCAATGATATAAACACACGCACACACATATATATATATATATATATATATTAATTTCAATTGAAGTGACGATTGAACTTGCACGTATACACTTTTAATTTAACCAAAACTATCGGCAGCAAAGTACAATTCGTTGTCGAGTGGAAAAAAAAGAAAGATGAAGACGACGAGTTGAACGGAAGTAAGCATCGAAAGACGGTTAGCAGCGGAAGCGACTTATTTAGCGTCGACAAAGAAATTACAGTTCTCTCTTTTTTGCTTCTTCTTATTCAGTGACGAGCAAGAATAATAGAATAATCATAAAGCCCGGGCGCACACACGCATGTATGTTGTTTGCCTGGCCATACACACTAGTGAACCAACGTCTCACCAATTACGGGTCTATTCAATGGTCGATGATCTTGCAAAAAAAAAGGAAGAAGAGAAGAGAAATAGATGAGGAAGATGATGCGAGACAGAGAACGTGACGATATGTATGTATATATATGTGTGTGTATGGCTGTAATCAAATTGCGTTTGGACACACAGCTCCAGGCTGTTGTAATTGGTTTGAAGAGTGCGAATAGAGAATGATGACTGCTAGTAATCATGAATGAAGATGATTGATTATTATTATTTCTTTTTCAAGCCTCTAGGGGTACCACATTGATACTTCTCGTTTTCTCTCTTCTTTTTTATATACACATATTGGTCTCTCGTGTCAACATGAACCATGCGGCAAAATATAAACAATTTGTATATATATATATTCATGCTAAGCAAGTATCAATGACAACATCCAACGAGCAGCCAAGTGGGCGAATAATCATCAAATTAAAAAAAAATAAAATATTCAATTTTCTATTTCTTTAGTCTATTCTATATTATACTAATATTAATATGAATGATGTTTACCATCTTATTCTCTAATCTGTCATTTATATATACATATAGAATGACTTAATCATATTGAAATATGTTGAGAAAGTTCGACTCCTCCTTTCTCTCTCTTTCTCTTCTAATCCATTCATATATGATTGTCACACACCATCTCGTTTTCGATCATTAGTTAGGCTTCTATTTGTTTGTTAGTTGTACAATATTTGCATGTGAACAACACTATGTGTATGTATATATATATATGTATCGAATGAAAACGGCAACGACAAGAGAAGAGATTAGACGAGAGAAAATTTGACACCTGCAACGATTGATGATCATTTCTTTTCTTCAATACGATAAGAAATCATATTCATTGACGAATATTTAAATAAGACAGCATGAATATTTTCTTATTCATAAATGATTTTATTGGTACTGATGCGATTAGACATGCATGAATGAATATATGTGTATTACCACAAATAAAAACTACAATTCAATTCTCTCTGATTATAATGACAAAGTTAATTGATCGAAGAATACGCCTACCATCATATAATAAATGTTCAATAATAATAATAACAGGTGTTCGCGGACAGATCTTAAGAAATAAAACAAAAAAAAGAAAAAAAAAAACGTAAATCAATCAATGTCGATTTGTGTGTTTTTTTTAAAGAGTATATCAAATCTATGATATATTTTATTGCACAAATAATACTTCGGATTTTTGTTTTAGCATTGTAGAAATAAAATATTCGTATAAGAATAAAGAATAAACATGTTAAACATATTATTAAATGTTGAAGATATACATAGAGAGAACAACTTACAAGAGAATTTTCTCAGCTGTTCCGTTGTCGATTGACAATGATTTTTTTTTTAACTTATAGATACTATTTAATAGTACCTTAAAAAGAAAAAGTTTAGATTTGATTAAACTATAAAACTTTATGCACGTATAATAGAAAATTCAACTAGATTAATTTCTATGAAAAAGAATGTAGAAGTTTTGAATAAAATTCTTTTCAAGATATGAACTTTTCAAGATATGAACTTTTCAAAAATTATATGTTATATTCAATTATCTAGGGTGTATCTATAAATAGAAAATTCCCTTGTTAGTTGATTATATCTCAGATCGTTGTTTATAACATCAATTATCCTATTTCGTATTAAGGAAAATAAAACAATCTGTCACTCAACATAAAAAAGATTCTAAACGAAAATTCTCTTTTTTTTTAAGGTTTCTTAACTTAACTTGTTTCGTTTCTTTTTGTATTTGTTAGAAAACAAATGATTGAATAACTGCTGACTATTTTCATTTTTGCTCTCACCCTTATTAGGTTTCTATGATATTGATCATTGATTATTGGTGACTTTTGATAATATTGAAACAGATGTCTTTCCGCTTCTCGAGACAAGTATGTATATATGTATTAATCATTAAAGTTTCGTAATAGAGAGTTGATCAAAATCAAAAGCAAAGAATTTCTTTTGGTTGGTTTTTTTTTTTTTTTTTTTTCTTTTTTCTTAAATAACTAAATCGACCGTAATATTGGTATGTCAAGAATGATAATCTATTTTTCATTTATAGTTACAATAAAAAAAAGAAACAAAATCTTGTCGTGATTTTTTGTTTTTTTCGATTAAGATATAATCTGTTTAAAAAAGAAAAATCATTGAAGAATTGTTTATTTTGAAAATGATTACTATCGTATAATAATGAACATATTCTCTATGTTCTGTTTATTTGAAAGATATGATTGTAATGTATATAGAAGGTGTCATTCTTCGATTAACAGTCAATAGAACAATGAAGAATTCCTTCTTCTTTTTTTTTTTTATGTACTCTTATCTTTAACTATTTTTGTATTATAACACTTCCAATAGAAATGAAACAAACAATGATTTGATATCATATTTTTAAAACAATCGAATCAATTCTATTTTAATTAAATATTACACTTATACTATGTGTACATTAGATATATTCAAAAAAAAACAAAATTGTAGAAAAATAAAACTTTTCTTTTGCAATGAAATCAGTAATGGTAATTGAAAACTGTTTTTTTTTTAAGTAATTGGTAATGGACATTATATAAATTTATATAATATATATTGATTTTGTTTGTCGTTAGAATGAGATCTGTAAAACATTTAAATTTTGTCTGAATGTCATAATATTGAAGCTAACTTTGTAATTAGTTAATTTTTGTTTTTCCTCTATTGAAACTTTGTAATAAAAAATTTAAATATCATCAATCAGTCTATGGTTTGTATAGGTGATGCACTAGTGGAATGATACATCGATGATTATTATGGAAAGACTGATAAGATACAATGTTTTTATTCTACCTATATGACTCTAGTTTCACCAATAATATCTGTATTATAGAGATAGGAAGAAGATATCCGTCACATTTCACTGTTTTCTTTGCTTTTTGATCTTTTACAACTTTGTAATTAGTTTCTAATTTATTAACTAAATTTCTAAAAAAAAAAAAAAAGTAAAATTTCTTATTATTTCTTTAAAAAAAAAACAGTAAATCTATTTTTAGTTTATATTGAACGTAGTTTTACAATTGATATTTAGATACGATTATGAATGAATTAATATTAAGAATTTATTGTTTCTCTTTAGAAGGTTTTGTTTTTATTGTCTATTAATATTTCGAATGACTTATGGTCGATAGTTTATTAAATGATAACTTATACATTCAAAATTCAAGTGAATCTTGTTCATTTTTGTTTTTCGATATTACAATAAAAAGTTCAAAATAGGATCTTTATTTTTTAAGATACATCTTTGTTAAACTGACCAAATTTTTCAATAGCAAAAAAAGAAAAAAAAGGAAAAATAATTAAAAACGAAATACAAAGTATATTTTGTTGTATTAGATCATTAGAACACTTAGCACCATCAGGTCTAAAAATTTTTGAATCCGAATCCTATCAAATTGACTTTAGTTCATATCTTAGATAATGATAAACTTTATAAACATCATGCATATAGAGCTAAATTTTATAATTAGTTATTTTAAAAATTAACTATTAGGAAATTTTGTAAAATTGAAGTATGGATTACATAGATTTTTTCAAGAAATTTGATGTCTGATAGACTCTATTTTAAATATTTAAATTATTGAAAATAAGTTTGAATTTGTAAATGAAGTAGTTCTAAAATTTTGTTCTATGTACATCAATGTAATATTATATAAACACAATTTTTTATTATCTTAAATAAGAATTAAAAATGATACATCAGTCGTTCTATTACATGTATTTTTTTCTTAATTTACAATAAATGACATTGCTTTATTGAATACAATAATAATATTTTGAAATAGTACTTATCTATATTATTTAATATGGAAAAAAAAAGGTCCATTTCATTGCACTGACATGGACGTATTTCCAATTATGCTACATAACAAACAGAAAAGATTTCAAATGGATTTTATAGTTCAAACACAATAAATGGTGAGAACTGTTATTTAGATATTGAACTTTTGTTAACAAACTGATCAGGTAGTGTACAAATTTGTTTGAGAAGAGCTCATAAAGTTTACGTAAATATCTCTTATAAAATTCTAGCGATTTAATTGCTTTTTATTTCGTATGATTTAGTTTACAACAAATATTCAAAATGATTACTATCTACTTAAATAGATGAATCCATGCGTTTTGAAATATTTGAAAAGACATTACACAAAGTTTTGTTTGGTGATCAATTTAATTTTCATAATCAATATTCGGTTTTTTCTTTTATTCGGCTGTATCTTTAACAGGAGTTTTGTAGATGCTTTGAAATGTGAATGTCATTTTTAATTTTCTCTCAAAGCCTTCAATCGTATATATTAATCAACGTTTACAAAAATCTTGTCAAAGACTTTTAACTAAATTACAGATGAAAATTGACACCGAAATTAAATCGATTCTTTAAAAAGAAATTTTGTATAATGTTTTTTCAAATATTTCAAAACTCATGGATTTATGTATTGTAATAAATGATAATCATTTTTGAAGATTTTTTTTTTGTAAATCAAATTATATGAAATAAAACTTAAAACAATAGACTATTATAAGAGGAGAAAAAATTCCTGCCTGCCTACAATCTAATCAGTAACATAATTACTGTGATATATCGTTAATATTTTTAATGTGAACTTTTTATTTTGTAAAAGAAAACGAGCTATAACATCAGTCATAGTTATAATACATCTTTTGACTTTCATGATATAAATTGAATAGTTTCAGTTGACAAAAAAAAACAAAGCACTTTAAGCATCTAATTTAATAAATTTAATGACTTTCATTTCTAATAAACTTTTCATATTGTATATACATATATGGACAGAGATCTTAAAGAGTTCAGTCAAAACAAATAGCTTTTGGCGAACAACTAATTTTAGTGTGAAGTACAAAGAGTATCCGTTAACTTTATAAGGACATCTATCTTCTGAATAGTCACGTCTTCTTGTTTATTAAAGAATAAAATTTTGAACACTACACAAAAAAAACTCAAATTAAATAATTAAAAGAAAATTTCAAAATCTTTAACAGGCTTAAAAATTTTCTTTTCATATTATGCGTTTTATTGTCAATAAGAAAACAAGAAATATGCGAAAAATGAAAACCAAAGTATCACAAATGTTATTGATGTATTTATCATATTTCCATTATTTCCTGGGCTAGTTGTCTGTTGACTTGTCGATGTAGCTAATGAAACCGTTGTTGTTACTACTGTTGTTGCCATTGTTGAAGCTGATGTTGCGCCTTCTGTTGAACCCGATGATGTGTTACCTATTGAACCCGATGGTGTGCTCTCTGTTGAAACCGATGGTGTGTTATCTGTTGAACCCGATGGTGTGCTATCTGTTGAACCCGATGGTGTGCTATCTGTTGAACCCGATGGTGTGCTATCTGTTGAACCCGATGGTGTGCTATCTGTTGAACCCGATGGTGTGCTATCTGTTGAACCCAATGTCGAATCATCTGTTGAACCTGATGATGTGATATCTGTTGAACCCAATGTTGTTTCTGTCTCTAGACTATTAATGCTTGAGTTAATGAAAGAAATGAAATAGGACACTCGTGTATATAATCCAGATAATCCTGCATCACCACATCCTAAAAGGCTTTCTGTTATTCCTACTAATACCCAACTATTATTAACAAAAACCATTAATGGACCACCATTATCACCAATACATGTATCTAAAAGAAAACAAAAGCAAAAAAAAAGTTTCTCGTAAATTAAACAGATAATAACGACTTACCTTTACCACCACCAATAACTCCCGCACAAAATTGTACAGATGAATTGACTAAACCGGCTTGTTGACATTCAGTTGATGTTGATGATAATGTTTGAATTGTTACTTGTTGAAGAGAATTAGATGGAACAGTATCATTTTTCGATGTCTTACCCCATCCAATGGCTACAAGAGCAGTATCATTTTGAAATGGATCTATCCCGTCCTGTGGTAAACAAATAAAAGCTATTGTAGAATTTGATGATTTATCAAGTGGAGAAAATTTAAGAATAGCAATATCATTTATCATAGTGGTTGAATCATAATCGGGATGCGTAATAATAGAAATGATTGATCTTTGTTGAATAGTTGTAGTGGATGTATCATCTAAATCGTTAGTACCAGCAAGAATTGTTAATACAGACGTATCTTGCACATAATCTTGTACACAACTGGCTGCTGTTACAGCATATTCAGATGTTAAAAGACTGGCACCACATGTATGATTGCCTGAATTTTGAAGAGAAATAATCCAACCCCATGTATGAACAGCTGCTGTTTCTCCACCGACAATCCGTGATGTAACATTAGTGATTACTGCTGAACAACCACATGAAATACTTGGATCACATTGATATATAGCACTATATGTGAAATTAATATAAGAAAATATAAGGCATATAAATAATAATATTTTATTCATCGTTTATCAACTTTATCCTTGAATCAAATACCTTTATACTTTTATAACTTGTTTTGAGAAGTCACGGTACAATGCGTTTATTTATTATGAAACAAATGCATCTTTCTCTTTCGAATGACTGCATTAAATCAGTAAGAAAAAGAGAAAAAAGAAAATATACAGGCAAATCGTGATAATAAGTAAAAGTGCAAGACAATGCACTTTAAGGTACCATTACTAAACATAGACAGGTGAATTATAAAAATATGTTTTACATTGTCGTCAGAAGTTAGATAAAAAAAATATTTTTTTATTTTGTCACATGTGGTAATTTCGTCTATTTGTCGTTTTTGTATTTTGAATAGATAATACACATCTCATATTACATCTAATCCATTTTACTGACTGATTTACGTCGGAATTTTTTGCTTTTGTGTGTAAGGATGCAAATTACGCATGGTGCTTTTTATTCACGTATAGTGTAGAAGAAATATTTTTTTTTTTTGGTAAATAAGAAAAAAAAAAATAAAAATAAAGAAAACAAAATTTGATGTTAATTATCTGATCATAACAAATGCTCATATAGAGACTTCTAGAACATTTACAAAGGTTGAAATAATCCATACGTCCTATGTTGCATTCTTCCAACATGGTATTTTGAACTTTTCCTATGATATTATCATATGCCCGATGTTGGTGTTTACCTAATATATTCGTTGACATCGTATTTGGTTTTGTAGAGCACACTAATATATAGACATATCTAAGGATGTTTCGAGAGCGCCACAATCAGAGGAGGTTGAGGACTCAAGTATTGTTCAACATGGATACAAATTTTCAAAATCCGATCTGGACTAACACTTCTTTTTTTTTGTATTCTAGCTCGAGCTTTTCAAACTTCTGTTTTATGTGAAAAAAAATACCATTCAGTTTCTTTTATAAATAGCGACAACAAAAATCTCAAGTTTCACAAAAAAAGAAAAGTGAATCATTTGATGTGTTTTTACGTTTCAAAACACGATCGATATTGCTTAGGATACGTTTCATTGTTGAAGAAAACACTAGAATAAAACGTTATGTTGCTGCCAACCATCATACTTGTGAAAGTATACATGTGTGCTTTTTTTCATGACGATAATAAATATTCACTCTTTTCATAATTCATTACTGCATCATATGATTCATCATCATCATCTGTAAGTGAATTCTCATGTATACTGAATTATTCGATCATGGTCGAACTAGTTTTCACACATATGCTTTCATATACATCAGTAATTTGAAAAATAACAATATTTTGTAACGTCAAGATTTCATTAATTCTAAGGAAAGGATCATATATGATAGTTTATACGAGTGGTTCGAACCGACATTTGTTTTTATGCGTGTGACTAATCAATGATATGTTTATTTAGAGATTTTTTTTTACTTAGTTCATTTTAGGTAACATAACACAATCATTGTCATTTTATTTTGATAAAATATTTTCAATCTGTATATCCTTCAGATATTAAGTGCTTTCTTTGTAATAATATACTATAGCTTGTATTCACACTCTTTTATTATAATATGTAAAAGCTATTTTTTTCCATAATATGATTAACATTTTATTTTCTTGATGAAATACATTTTTGATAAATAGTTAAAGGTAAAGTATAATAATAGAATACTTGATCATATTTATTTTAGAAACATAGCTTGCAGAAAACTCATCTTGATCTATATTGTAATTCATTGTTCACCATTTTTTAATTATGATTCAAATTTGTTTCAACTTCAGATTAGTTATTTATATTATAACGATTGTCATTAACAGGATAATACATCTACTCGTTATCTTCTAATGTTATCTCAATTATAGATCTGTCAGGTTGTGTTTTGTCTCGATCTTCATCAAATTCACTCTTAAATAATTTCAATATGAATAAACTAAACGTCTCTATATCTTATTGCTTAGAAGATTTTCAGAGATCAAACTGGAGAACAAGATTTTAACATTTGGATACGGGAAAGGATTTTTTAAAACTTTTATTCAGTTTCGTTTTACTGATTATTGAAACTACAAAGATCTAGAATTTCGAAACATAATTTTCTGGACGACTCAAAATCTATCTAGCATTGAAGATTTATTGCAAAAATTTCTTTTCATTCATACAAAGGACTATACATATATATCTATCGATTAAAAACAACCGCAGTTCTCTTGAATGAAGAATATTAAGAAAAATTCAAAAGAAGTTTTTATTCTATATAATCATCTTACTATTACTTAGAATGAAGGTGAAACATAAATATATTACATATGAATCAAAGCAACTTGTCTATATATATTAGAATGTTCCTGTACGAGATACATTACAATAGATAATGCTACCTACAATTGCCTTTATCTTTTTCATATCATTCAACAACATAATACAGACAAAAGAATAATAAATGAATATTATTGTTTCGCCTTTTGTAGATCTCAAAAGTGTATTTCTCAGATGTACAATCTTTGATTACCACTGAAAAATATTTGTATTTAAAGCATTAATAAGAATAGAATATTCATAGATAAAATATGCGTCTGTTTTACAAACTATGCTTCAAATTCGGAAAGTGCATGAAGTAGTATATTCCGTTTATTGTTCGAAAGAAATACATTTTTTAAAAACATCAATAATTCATGATCAGAGTAAAAATGAATAACATTAGCTAAAACTATTTTAAAAGATGTATTTTGACTAAAAAAAATCGCTATACATGAGTATGTTTAGTATTTTGATAGCTTCTCATTAATGACATGATCATTAAAGCTTCTGGACATCTTATATGATGAAGAACAGTCTAAGCTGTCAATTCGTTGCCTTTGAAGTACTAAAATAAAGAGTTAAAAAAAAAAAAATGTTATGAGTCTCTAAGGTTTTTACATTAGATAAATTAATGTCAAATAATATATGTTAACGAAATCTATATCTGGTAAAAAACGAATTGTACAATCGCATGTACTACATAACAAAAGTTGAAAATACGGCTATCCTGGAAACGTTCATTTCTAGAGTTTCGAACAGTTTTTAACCTATAGCACTATTTTAATTCTTTCTATTACTAATTAAAAGAAAATAAATTTACAGTCTAGACTGATTGTTATCATATAACACATTATGAAAAACTGTTAACATATTAAGCACACTCATGTTTAGCGATTTTTTTTCCATTCAGAATAGATACTTAAAAATTGTTTTAGCTGCCGTTATTCATATGTTAAACTACATTGCCAAATATTTTGAATTTGACTATGGTTTAATTGAAGACTTTCTTAATAATTTTTTGAAATATGTGATAAAATAATATTTTGGTATCCAATATCTAAAAATCCATCATTTCACTGTGCATGACGTTCAATTGTTATTGAGAGTAGTAGATAGTGAAAATTCACTAGAAACTATCTGTCATATATTGTCCGAGCAAATGTATCTTCATATAAATTTCTATCAGGAACAAAGCTAAAACTTCTAAAGTTTCGATGACTGTTACGATTTCTTACGAAACTGTAAAAAATTTACAATAAGTTCAAAATTTTCTGGAATGGGAAGCTCTCGTCCGCTTCCTTGCTACTTGGCAATTCAGGTACTGTGATTTGCTGATAATTTCTTGAAGGGATAGTGTTATTTTTGTAAAAGAAATAGAACTATAGCAACCAAAACAGTTATAAATTATCAACTATTGCAGTTATTAGATTTCTTTTGACTTTAATGACACTAATCGAGTATGTTGAGTTAGGAATAAAGCAAAAGACTCGAAGAAAACAATTTAACTCATTCAATGATATTCATTTCTGTTCTAGTTTTCAGACTGTATATATAGAAATACGTCTTCAAAGAGTTCAGTTGACACAATCAATTTTTGTCGTCAAATCAATATTTATGTGTAGTACAAAGAGTATCTACATATTTACTTTATAAGCTCATTTATCTTCTATAGAATAATAGTTTCATTTTTTATGAAAGAATACCAAGTGAAATATTTTACAAAAAGAGAAAATAAAATAAATAATCAAAAGAAAATTGCAAAGAAAATCTCTCCTATAAGAAAAGATTTACTATTCGTATGATATATGATATCATCAATAAGAAAAGAAATATGTTAAAAATGAAAAGCAAAATATCACAACTGTTATTGATTTATTTTTCATATTTCCATTGTTCATCTGAATAGCTGATTGATTATTTTTATGTTGACTTATCGATGTCTTTAATGGAACCGTTATTGTTGTTTCTGTTACTGGGACCGTTGTTGCTTCTGTCAATTCAACTGTTGTTGATTCTGTCAAATGACTCGTTGTTGCTTCGCTCAACGAAACCATTGTTGTTTCTATCGTCGTAATCATTGTGGATTCTGTCAGTGGAGGCGTTGTTGATTCTGTCACTTCAGTCATTGTTGTTTCTACCCCTGAAACCGCTGTTGTTTCTACCCCTGAAACTGTTGTTGTTTCTACCCCTGAAACCGTTGTTGTTTCTACCCCTGAAACCGTTGTTGTTTCTGCCATTGGAAAATTCACGTTTGAATTAATAAACGAAATAAAATAAGATACTCGAGTGTATAATCCTAGAAATCCTGCTTCAGCGCATCCAATACCTTCTGATGTTATTCCTGCTAATACCCAACTATTATTAACAAAAGCCATTAATGGACCTCCACTGTCACCTTGACATGCGTCTACAAAAAACAAACAAGATTATTATTAATTAAATATAGAAGAAAAACTTACCTTTACCACCAGCAATAACTCCCGCACAAAATTGCACAGATGGATTGACTATTTGTGATACTTGACATTCATCTGATGTTGATGAAAATGCTTGAACAGTTACTTGTTGAAGAGAATTAGATACAACATGAATGAATTCCGATTTATAACCCCATCCAATAGCTACAAGATTAGTACCACTTTGAAATGGATCTTCATCTTGTTTTGCTAAACAAATAAAAGCTATTTTAGAATTTGATGATATATCAAGTGGAGAAAACTTAAGAAT